AAGTCGGTTATTTGAATAATACTAATAGAGGTGATGCTCTTTGTAAATTACATGAAAATATTCTTAAGCCTGTTAGTCAAATGTTGTCGACAAAGATTAAAGCCACTCTTCCACTTCTTCGCAAAATAGTACTTGGGAGAGATGCGGGACAAACAGAAGCCGACACACAGCTCTTTCCTTCCCAATTCTATTTATTATCACTCTTCGGCTTCATTTCAGACCAATTACTTGTCAGAACTATTGATGCTAAACATAAACCATTAACCTTTTTTAATATGACAGAACACGACGCAAACAACATTGTTAATTTGGTCTATTTAATATACCACTTTGGGCATCAGAAAGTGACTGGGTCATCATTAATAGAGTTAAAAAAGAACAAAGAGCCACAGAATGAAGTTCAAGACTATTTTGGTGAGTTGTCTTGTCCTCTCATCTATTCTTCTTACATCTTTGCTGCTCAAGTCGCTATGACTTCCCCTGTGAATACACTCTTTATGACTTCACTCAATACAAATTGTATCATTCGTGCTGATCTTGATAAGTACAAAGACAACACACAACTTTTTAATTCTGAGTTGTTAATGGTTCAGCTCGACTATTTCACGCTGTTATTAACATTCAACCGCTTTGGATATAGAGAGTCCTCCGTCGACCAATTCTACAAATACTTCCAAACGAACATTTCGTTGTCATCGATTGTCGCTAACGTTTCACAAGAGCCACAGGAGTTTCTTAGAAAGCATTTTCTCATTAAAGAAGCGACCAAGAACGCACCAAACTTATTGTATCGTGGTGCTCAACATCGCCAAGTTGGTGTTCCCAGTATATACTCCTCATACGCAACAGCGTCTTTTGTGTTCAATCAACAGAGCCACACTTCTCAAACGAGCACAAGCAAATTGTCGAAAGAAATCAAGAAAAAGCGGTCGATATTTGGGTTTACATCATCGTCGACTCTTTCATTATCAACTTTGATGGAAAGCTTTAAAAGAACACCAAAAGCTATTATGAGTATGGATCAATTCGATGGGGTTATAGACTCTATTGGACACAGACAAGTGTATTCAGATCGTCCACTGATTGATGCACATGAAGATAAGAACACCAAGGACTATGTAATTGATTATACACAAGACGTTGAAGTGTTACAATATCGAAAACATAGAGAAGAACTAGCCAAGACTATGTCAAGCGCAGAAGAAAAGGCATTTGCTAAGCAAACAGTTCAATGCCGAATCGAACAGTTGAGCATCCAGCCATCTGCAGAACTTTCAGATTCGGAGTATAAAGAGTACAAAGACTTCTTCTTACAAAAATTGAGTAATGTCGCAAATGAATACGACTTCTTCTTCCCATTTGTCAACGATTCGTTCCATGCAGTGTTTAAGAACAAAGTCTTTAAGACGTGTATTATAGACGCAGTGGTCACCGGTAACTACAAAAATTTCTTCTCGTTCTTCGCACCACCACAACAGCGAGAAAACGAACTTCCTGACTTAAAGACTAAGAAGGCACTTTTGTTACAAGACAAAAGTTTTACAGAAAAGTTCTTAAAACCACGTCTTATCAATTCAAGCAATTACTCCGTGTTCGCAAGATACCTGTGGGCACAGTTTAGGTACTCCAATCAAAAAGAAAAGCCAATAGAACAGAAGAAAGCAGAAACGAAAATGCTTGCCGTCTGCTTCGGACACTTCTTTGCAGAAACTGTGTTGTTCATTGGAGGCGACTCGGCTACAGACTTGGCTACTATCTTACACCTCGCCCTACAATCAATGATACCAGTGACGTGCAAAAAAACAAAACGGGAAGTAAAACCAATTTATTATTTTGTCAAAGCAGTCATCAATAACATTAGAGATGTTTTGGGAGGTGGGAGCCAAACAGTGTTGAATGAAGTAGTCGGAAAGTTTACTTTGAAAAGTACTGATGTAACACCGTTTGGGCAAATGGTGAAGGAAGCTATCGAAAGTAGACAAAAATAATGAAAGTGTTTATCTTTATTTTACCATTTTAACTCGATTTCGAACTAATTGAGTATCAATTGTATATGAAATTGTTATTTTTTCATAACTTTTTTGTGTAATGACATTCGATATTTTGTGAATAAAAAGATACTTCACAAATAAAGTAAATATTTTTATTTACAAGAAATACTATTTTTTATTTGTTTATTCAAGCTGATATCATTTGTTTCCACTTAAAAGACTTATATGATAATCATTAATGTCAAAAAATAATCAATCATATTTGCTTTTAAACTGTTTTTTATTTATGACTCTATTTAATAAACAATTTGTTGTATTATTTCGACAACATCACAATTGATGAACATTTGTCGTAAATCGAGACATTTAGAAAGTTTTTAGTTTTATAAATAATATAACGTATTCAAAATAGAATTTACTGACTATTACAAATAATATTTTAAACATTAAACCAGTCACTTAAAACTAGAATCAGAAAGGATGTAATGTTCGTTATGTGTAAAAAATAATATGTGTAATGGGTCACAATACGAAAATGAAATAATTTCATAAACAAAAGTAAAATTTGAATAAGAATTAATTATTTAAAATTACCCACAACCTTTGAAGTTTCTCAGTTTTTATGTAGTGTCTTATTTTTGAAACTATATAATATAATAACTTTTATCAATGTATATACTATTATTGTTTTTTTCTTTTGAAAAAAAAACATGTATTCTATTGTTTTACTATATTCAACTATACTATATAATAGTTATTGTTTAATTTAAATTAACAATTAATAAACCAGATTAAGTTATCCTAATCGCCCGTTTAAATACTAAACTTGAAAGCTAATTATTTCATCAAATGTCCAATCATTGTTTTGAATTAATTCAACAATTCTTTGTTGTTCTTGTCTGACTCGTGGAGGTAACTGTTTTATTACTCCTGGGAGAGAATAACGTTCATTAATTAAATAAAAATGAACATCTCTAAATGGATACGCAAGAACATGATAGTTACATAAACAATGACAAATTGTAGTCAAATTGTTATATTTGTTTATACTTAACGAATAAGGTTCTCGCATTATTTTAAATAAACTAACTAATCTCCCAAACATGTTTTCCACTATAATTCTGAAAGAAGATACTATGCTGTTGTGAATTTTTATTATACCATAAGTGATTTCATCATCAGTTGTGTCGAATTTATACATTCCAATTACATTTTCAATTGAACCATACGCAGAGTCAGCCAGTACAAATTCGTTATGCTGAGTCAACCACATTTTGAAATTTTTAAAAATAGTTGCATCGTGGAATGAAGCTGGTATACACGTTGTAAGCTTTGTAACGATTCCCAGAGAAGTGCAATAAGCTTCACTTTTTAGTGCGCTCTTGTTAATTTTTTGACTAAAAAAGACACCATTTTAACACAGCCTCCCACCCACGATTTTTGAAGAGTTGTTAACCCTTTGATCTCTACCATCTACTGCAAACCCACACTTTTTTAAATTGGGAATCCATTCACTAAAAGAAGCCTCACAGGTATCTGCAAAAGTTTTTGTTATTTCTGTTGTATTTTCCAACTTTACCATTAATTGTTCTCTGGCGTTATCTGTGAATAAATTTAATGCATCTTCTATTGCCCTTTCCACTCTTAACTCAGCTCTGGTGGTCACCAATAATGATTGTTTTGAATTGATGCTCCAATCTCGATCTTTGAATTTATTATTCATTCCCAAACACAAATAAATATCAAAATAAGATTTGTTGGTGTGTAATAGAGTCATCAAAATCAACAATTTTCGTTTGTTTTTAAATTGTTTGATTTTGAATGTCTCAAAATTTCTGATGAATACTTTTTATCAGACCACGTTGCAACACGTACATTATGTCCGTTATTCTCAAAAAAGAATCTACACATCAAACTACTAAAAATTTCATGTATCTCAACAAAGTCTTTTATCTGAAAACCTGTTAATTTCTTAATGTTGTTTAGATTTATTTCAACAAGGTCAGTGACTTCTGGCATAACAAGGTGTAAGTCGAGTAGATTTGGAGTTTGATGATTAAGTAAATTGGGCGTGGATAATATTCTTTAAATAAAGTTTTGTCTTGTTTAGTCGACAAGATGTTGTTCAACAAACATACCTTCGGATCTCAAATGACGCAAGTAATCAGTTGTATCTCTTCTCTGAGTATTTGAGAGTTGTTGTGGTGTGTTATGTGTTTCTGAGTGTCTTCTGGATTCATTAAAAGTCGTTTGTTGCTAGCGTATATTTATATCGATATGTGTTACTCCTCTTCTTGTTGCACTGTGGTATTAAGAGAGTTTAAGGTAATTTGTCTTTCTTTGGGTGGCTATTCTTGTTGGTTGTGTTGTCTGCATTCGGGGCGCAACAAATCTCAAAACACTGGTTGGGGTTGGTGCAGTTGTTGTACTTGTGTTCGGGTTGTGTGTGTTCTGTCTTTGACGAGGCATTCTGTAAATAAAGTCAACAAAAAGTGGTTTAAATAAATAACCTAAAATTTCTTAAATATTGAAAATATTTCTAATTAAATTACTTTAAAAAACGGGCGATTAGGATAACTTAATCTGGTTTATTAATTGTTAATTTAAATTAAAATATAACTCTTATATAGTATAGTTGAATATAGTAAAACAATAGAATACATGTTTTTTTTTCAAAAGAAAAAAACAATAATAGTATATACATTGATAAAAGTTATTATATTATATAGTTTCAAAAATAAGACACTACATAAAAACTGAGAAACTTCAAAGGTTGTGGGTAATTTTAAATAATTAATTCTTATTCAAATTTTACTTTTGTTTATGAAATTATTTCATTTTCGTATTGTGACCCATAAGTGGAAATGCGTTTCTAATAATTATGAAAATAATTTATTTATTTGTAATTTTCTTGTTATATATATGAGTAATTGATACTTAACATCCAACGTGTTATTTTGCCACTTCAACCTTCTGTTTTGAAGTTTCAAGAGTTTGTTCTTCAAACCTTTTTTTCCTCTTGATGGCCTTCTCAATTGCTGTATTAAACGCTTTGACCCATTCATCCTTCTCTTTTGTTGTTTTAGTTGCAATGTAGAACACACTCTTCCCAGAGATGACAGAGAAGATACAATCCCCAGCTATTTCCTTGTTATTTGGCACTTCGGTCATCTCCGTCTCGACTTTGAGTGAATCAACAACAACGTGCGTCTTATACACAAATTTCTTACTCAACGTATTCGACAACAGACTTTGCGAGTATTTAGCAAAGACACAAATGTCGGAGAACAAGATGCAGTGGCACGTCACATACTTCTTTTTGTAGCACACCAATAAGACTCCATCCTTCTGATAGATTCTGCCAGGTTCCAGGAAATTGACTTCATTTGGTAAGTCTGAAATTCGTGAGGATAAGTCATTCACTTGTTCCATATGTTCGGCTTGCTTACTAAAATCGTTCACACTGATTGCGACTTGTGAGACCAAATTAAGCCCATCAGACAAATCTTTATAGTCTATATGATTCTGTGGCGTGTGTTTCAATAGATCGTTTAAGAGCAATTTGTATCGAGGAATGCGTTGAATGGGGGTTATCAAAAATGATGTCAATTCTGAGTTCTTATACTCTTCCGGTGCTTTCTCTAGCATGATTCTATGGTACTCTTCATAGAACTTGTGTTCCTTCCCTAATTTATCCAACTCTTTCAATGCTTGGGGGTAGTTCTTACAATACTCGCCATAGATTTTTAAGAACGGCGCTAATTTTAAAAACAGTCCCCCAATACTCGACTCGCTATTCCACACTTTAATAACTTTCTGAAATGACTCGAGAAACTTGGTGTTGACAGATAAGATCATTTCTATGTCACTAAATATCTTTCGCGAAGTCTCCACTGGAATAACTTGGTCTCGAGTGATCGGCTCAACAAACTTCTCAACAAGAAACTTGAGCTGTTGGACGTAACTTCTTGGAGTTAATATATCTTATTATATTTTATAATAATTTTATTATAAAATATAACATAACAAACTCTTCTGTGGACAACAACTCCTGAGCAACATTGGTACGATAGGCATATAGTTTATTCATCTTCCTGAATTCATACTGTCGAGCCGCTCTTACTATTATGGTCGATGCAAGTTCTTTTTGCGCAAGAAGTCCACACGCTCTTATTTTATCAAGCACATCACCTTTAATCTTGGACCCTTCAAACCACCCCAATTTCTTCTCATCAAAGTTGACTAATTTGTTCCCATCCAAATTTTTCAAAGAAGTTACAGCCGCCTTTGAAATGCCATTTTTTAACATGAAATCAGTTGTTTGTTCAGCAGACCATATTCGATAGTCCATTTGATATCGATACCTTGGCGGTTTGAACAAATTCATCTTGATGATGTTACCAGTCATCTTGTATACCTCCGTCTCTTGTTTTTGTTCCTTTGTAATTTCTTTAATTTTAATTGCAATGACCTTACGCTGCTTCACAGTCAAATTACCAACAATACCCCTCCAGTCAATGAACTTAAGATCCTCTACACACTTCGCTGAAAAATCGTCACTGTTCACTTCCTTAAAGACTTGTTCACACTCTTTTTTGTCTGGAAAAAGGTTTATAATAAGCTGGGATAAGTCGTTGGGCTCAATATTACTCATTCTTTATTTTTTCTTTGTTTTTTAGTTCCTTTAAGAAAAAATTAACTTTGGTTGAAAAGGAAAAATAAATATCATAAGTTTACTAATCGTTTTAACTATTTTACTATAAATACCACTTTCCATAGAAAATTCCAAGTTTTCATTTTTCGATTTTCTTTATTTACAGTCATTTGTATTCAAACTAAAATACACATTTTGTTTTTAAATACCTGTCATACTGTGACGGGCAGTGATCTTCCTTTTGAACATAAGTGCGTTTTTCCGAGAACTGTAACTTAGTTGCATAATATTCAAATTGTCAAGTAGTTTTTTTCTGCGTTTTTCAATAAAAATATTTTATTCTAAATACAATCATTTTAACCATGATAAGACATTTCAGTCTTTTTTAAAAAAGCATACAGTAAAAAGTGTCTTTTTGTGGGTTTTTATATTTGTGGGCATACGTCTCAAAAAACCTTCGTTTTTGACAATGAAAAAATAATGGTAATCATTTTAAAAAAATATTACTGATGTGGTGTTTTATAAAATCAAAAAGCAAATTGCAAGTTATTGTAATTGATAAAATAATCTTTTGTTTATTGCTTAATTTTTTATTTTATGGCATTTTTATTTTGGAAGAAAAAAATGTAATAACAAAAAAATAATTAATTTTAATGTTATTATATTTAACAACAAAAAGTAATTTTAAAAGCAAAAATGAGGCAGTTCAACATAATAATACATATTTTTTATATTGTGGCAAAATAGACTTAGTGGTATAAAAAACATTAATTAAAACAAAAATAAAAATATTTTATTTTTATTTTTTTAATATAAACAAATATACTACTGTCTTGTAATTATCATTTAACTTTATATGTTAAACATTAACTAATACACCCTGATTTTAATAATTAAAATTAACAAGTACTTTTAATTAACACTTTAAATAACATTGAACAAAATTCAAATGGTCTAAAAATTGGGAAATCTAGAGTTTATTAAATAAATTTCCGTTTTTTAGAGTTTATGTTATGTACATAAACAATACACAAACCAAAAAAGGAAAATCATCAAAAATTGGATAAATATCCCTGGAAAAACATGCCAAAACAAAAATAAGGGCGTTATTTTAAGTGTTAAAGCAAACATCCATTGAAAGGAACCAACACAGTAGCTTCCAGAGTAGTTTGTTTCATTTTCGGTTGTTTGTGTTTATTAAAAACGCCAAATTGTGACTCACACCTAACTAAAATAAAATTCATCGTCATAAATATAACTAGAATCCCTTTAAGAAAAGGATATTCAATCAGAAGATCTCTAAAATCATACAAATCAACCCAATCTTGTTTATTTTTGCGTTTCAACTCTTCAATAATATCATTTTCAAAACATTCACGACTCAAACGCAGGATTTCTTCTTGGAGATACATACGACTCAATGGAATTTTAATTCGTCCTTTAAGAATGTCTTCAAAGTTGTTCCATACAAACACGTCATTTTCTATTGGGTCGATTTCTCGTTGTTTTTCCCAACGTCAGTTCCACACACATTGTACAACTCTTGGAATGTAGTAACAGTTCTTGATTGCTCGGAAGTTGCGATCGAAGAAAAACGAAACTTGAAGTTTGAGTTAACAACTTCAAGTGCATGTGCGAAGAGTTTCCATACGTAAATATCAACACCTTCTCTGTTTTCTTTCGTCAATTTAAACTGTGAAATATCCCTCATGTCAACCGCAGCCGAAAACATTTGAAATTTGGCCACAATAGTTTCACCTTTTTCCCACTCTCTGGGAAGAAACGTTTCTTTTTTCTGGAGTTGTTTTATAATGACTTTAAAAGGCTCAAGGATATCAATCAAAAACACGTTACAAATTTGGTTTTCTCGAATAATAGTATCTCGATGCACTCTTTAACGCTTGTTTGATTATAGAAGATGGCTTTTTGATCTAGTGTTGTAAGATAATTTACCAGTTGAAGTCGAACATTCCAAAGCGAAGTTAAAACATTAAAAATTCCATCGAGTGTCACAATATTTTTTGATGGGACATTATTTCGAATTAAGGAAATTAGAAAACCCATTATCTCTGTAACACTTACCACTTATATGTATACATGTATTGACTATTTCTTTTATTTCTTCCTATTTACACAATTGTTCTATATTAAGGGAAAGACTGTGGCACGCGCAATGTATGCGAAAACAGACTATCCCCCTTTTCTTTATTTTTCTTTTTAACTTGATAGTGAAGCCATTTTCGTTTGCCATGCAATTTGCCGCACCATCACAAGTACAACTGAATATTTTTTCCAATTTATCTCGAATCTGTCAATGATGTTAACAACACAATTAAATATATTATCTACACTTGAAGCTTCTTCGATTTCGAACAGTTAAACAATATATTCTTGAATAGCTAAATTTTCATTAACACATCTCAAAAACAATACATACTTCTTCCTTCCATTAATTTTAGTCTCGTCTATTTGTATTCCAACTCCAAGAGATTCTTTAGCGGCTTCACTAACC